CGGTTGGAACATCAGAGGTGAAAACTATTTTTCCAGGCCTTTGGTTTTCATTGCCACCATAATATATATTTTTTGCTTGTGAGAAAGGCACTTACCCTGGGGAAATTCTTAGGCAGAAGGAGGAAGGTTTCTCAGATATTTATAGCCCAAATATTTTAAAACATAGGTAGCTATATTTATGCTTGGTTCTTATTTTAATAAACACTAAGCATTGCTGCCCACAAAGTATCAATTTAGAAAAGAAATATTCTCCTTCACCTCAAAGGTGTGGCTCTTCTGTTTTAAAAAAGCAGGTAAAAGTTCTAAAAACCTTGCAAAATATGTTACAGCATGTAGACTTACTTAGAATTTGCCTCTTCAAATCCTTTCTACACTGATTAAAAATCAAAAATCTAGACCCAGCCCTGGTAGTCTAATGATTAAGATCTGGTGCTCTCACCGCTGCGCCTGGGTTCGTGTCCCGGTTGTGGAGCCACACCACCCACCTGTAAGTCGTCATACCGCGGCGGCGGCTCACGTGGAGAACTAAATTAACAACCGAGATACACAACCATGCACTGAAGCTTAAAATAAATAAATAATCAGTTAGCAAAGAAGCTAATGAATAACCACAGGCCAGTTTTGGGGGAGATTATGAAGATTACACCCATCTAAAAGCTTCACCCTGGCTGAGCCAAAGAGGAGCCTGCCTCTCTGATCCAGTCACTGAGGGCACCCCTAGAGGGTGCTCACTCCATGGGTGCCCTCCATTTTGGGGGAGGGAGAAGCAGACAGGGAACAAAAATTTGTTTGGTCCTAAGCACAAGAGAGATATTATGATACTCAAGAGAGCATCATAAATATGTAATGTCCACCTGAAATATCACCGAAACTAGCAAATAATCGGTCAGTACCCCGATACCCTGGTCTAAGTGTAATTTCTTAGCTGAATCTTTTATTAGCCAATTAAATATTTTTTTTAAAAGTTTTTTCCAACTATTTCCTAACAATGCTTTTGATAACATTATCCTCATTTAATAAGAAGAGCAACTGATGTATAGGTACCTACCAAGACAGAGAGAGGGACGACAACCTCATCATCCAGTGACAGAACTCAGACAAGAACTTTACGTTATGATGGTTGAAATCTGAGGATAACCTCTGGCAATGAATTGATTTCTACAGTTTCCTAGCCTTGGCCTGCCTCTTGGATATAATAAGAAACGTGTGGCTCACAGAGACCTGTCACAGGTGTTTCTGAACACAGGACATACCTGGGCAAAAGGAATTCAATATTAAACATTAAACAGACCTCTCTAGGGAAAATAGAATAACTGAAAATAGAATAACTGAAGACCCCCAAAAGTTTTTCACTCTAATTGCAGTTTCTGATTTAGAGCCCAGGACAGCTCTCTCTAAACACACATCCTCAGGTACCACCTGTAATGGGATAGAATCTGAGATGTTTACAAGTGAATGTGGGGATTTATTTTGCAGCCAAACACTAAATGCCACAACAAGCTGTGTGAGAGCTATCCTTCTGGAACAACAGCAACCAGCTGTCTAAGATGAGGCTCCCCTGTCCTCAGCCAGCAGGGATCTGGGGGAGCTGAGTCCACGCCGCCATCTCTGAAGATGGATCACAGACGTGAAGGGGATGTGGGGTTTCATAAAAAGAGCACCAAGCTGGAAGTCAGGAGACTCCAGTTCTAATTTTAATTCTGTCCCCATCCAGTCATTTTACCTTGGCAAAGCAACTTAAGCAACTGAGTCTCAATTGGGGAATTGGTGGTATGGGGGTAAAGGAAACATATTGAATGTCTACTCTGCATAAACACTCTGTGAAGACCACGAGCAACGGCCCTGCAATGAGGGTCCCAACAACTTGATGTTACAGATGAGGAAATCCAGGTTCTGAAATAAAATAACTTGACCAAAGTTACATATTCCTGAAGAGATCATCCAGACAGAATTCCTAGTACAAGAGCTGGAATCAGAGGCTGGCTTTGCCCATTCCATTATGTTCCATTTGGAACTCCAAGACATCCAAGAATTCTAAATTGGAAGCTAGCTTTCCAGGACACTGTGAAGGTATATTTGTCAAGACAAACAAATTAAAAAAAATATTTAACAGTGTGTTACAATGGTATATAATTTTAAAATAGGTATACATAAGAATTTGGGGCCTGAGACCCTAAAATGTTAGGGACAGTTCTGAATGTTACATTGCATTTTTGTTGGAAAGAAATTATAATTATTAAATGTAGGCACATAACACCCATATGTGCCTTCCATTTGTGTAGGTTTTCAATGTCTACAAAGCTCATTCTCGTATGTGATTTTGCTTGATCCTCCCAACCACACACTATAAGGCTGGAAGGAGTTATCGCTATGCTTTGCAGATGAGGACATTGGAGTCAATGCTTCTGGGGCCCATGTCACCTCCCCTTGTTCCACTTCTGATTTCAGCAGCTGCATGTGAGCTCAGACTTGCCCCACACGGCCAGCATCCAACCCCAAGCACACGCTGTGCTCATCTCATTCCTCCTTCTATCCCAGGACCCACCTCCTTAATCCACAAGCCAGCAGAGCCTAGAAGTGTGGGAAGTTATACCCCTGGGGAAACCTCAATCAACAAGGGAGGACAGAAGCCAGTGGGTAAATGGCTTCTGTCTTTTTGATAGGCAAATTCGAGAGGAATTCTGGACCCCTCAGAGAGATCTCAACGGAATCAAGCTCCTACAGAAACCCGTGTTGGCTGTAGAAGTGACTTCAGTGGCACACAGTTACATGTCCTCCTTCTCTGTCTCACTCTCCCCACTTTCTCATTCTTGCTTCCAAATAAAACAAACTACTTGCACCCAAGTCCTTGTATCGGACTCTCCTTTGGGGGACCCCAAACTATGAGAGGCACTGTGCCTTCAGGAGGTGAAGTGACTTGCCTCCTGCTGGCCAGTGGAAGAGGAAGAACCCTCTTCCTGGTTCTAAATCCAATGGATCTCTTTCATCGTCTACTTCCAGTTGTGCACACAGGTTAAGAGACTGCAGTTTCTACCTTTTACCAATAGGCCAGACTTAAAACAAGTTTAAAAAATTCATCTTTTAGCACAAAATTAATAATAAATGATAACCATCATCTTTGCTGGGGGTTACAGAGATGATCTGCTAGGCTACCATGAAAAATTTAGCACTTTTCAGAATTTTAACATATTACATTTTTGTTTTCTGGTGTGAGATAAGTAAATTAGAAATGCTAGGTTTCACTCCAAGTTTTACAGATGAGAAACCTGAAGTTTTAGACTTTCCAGTGTTTCACATTGTACTACTATTGGAACCGGGATTAGAATCTTTCCTACTCCAGGAACACTCTGGGCTTTGCCTAGCAACTCTATTCAACAGCCGGATTGTAGATTATGCTCAATGAAGAGCATTGGTCTGAAGCTTTGCAGTGGGCATCTTTTTTTTTTTTCTTCAATTTTCCCAGCATCTGTTCCTCCACCACAGTTAATTCCACCACAATTTTCCTTTGAGGAATCAACCCTCTTGAAGTCTCAATTCACGTACTTCAGGTCTGAATGACCCACCAGTCCTTAGTTCCAGAGCTCAGATTATGACAAGTGTCTGACCAATTAGTGTACTCTCTTCCCTCACCAAAGTGATTACTTGGAGAATGGAGAGGGACCCAAGCCAGACCAATTATAGTGAATATTGAGATTTTAATGGGTCCACTAAGAAATAGCCACTCTTTTCCACTGGGGAGCTAAGCTAGTAGACTGCAAGTCTTCAGTGTCTGGTGGCCATCTTGCCATCATATAGGAAGAGCCTACTTGAAAAGTCAATGAAGGGAAAGCACAGCACAGAGACGGATGGAGACAGACTGTTGATGTGACACGGATCTATTCTTCCCTGAATTTAGATTTGCCACTGGTCTCTACAGTCACAGGAGCCAATACATTACTGCCTCATCTTCTTTCAAGTTTCTGCCACTTGGAGTTCAACAAATCCTGCCTGAAACGAGCTCTGTACTCAAGCATTAAAGAGACTCAGTGCGGTGCTTCTCCGAAAAAACAAATGTCTGTTTTACACTACCAAGGAATAGGCTGGGAAGTGAAGGAACAGAAGCAGAGCTAATCAAATCTTGGCAGAATCCTTTGTTCCAGCTTCAGAGATCCTCAGGAATGAGGTGCTGTACTAGGTCTCTTTATGAATCCGTGAAGCAGCAGGCCTCAGACAAACTCCATCATCTTTAATGCAGAGAACACCAACCCCACAAACGTTGCTTTCGTCAGCGAGGTGCTTCAGTTCAAAATCTAACTGCAACTTGGGTTCAGAAGAAGGATCTTAGATTGAGAATTCCTTTTGCTCATTGTGTGTGTGTCTGTATGTGTGTGTGTGTCGGTATGTGTGTGTGTGTGTGTGTTTGCTTAAAATTACACAGCAGCATTGAGAATCCATGTTTTTACATCTGTAAGCTCACAGAAGAACTTCCAATCACTCTTCTACCCTCTGATAAGTTGAATAATAAGAACTGGAGAGGTAGATGAGAGAAAAAAGCTGAAACCAAACCAAGAAACTTGCCCCAGGGCAATACGGATGCGAAGGAAACAATGAATTGTACTTGTTTTTAAAGGTCTTTTTTCCCCTCTCTCAAGAAAAGTCACCATCAAATATTTACTTCAAATATAATGTTTCAAAGCCAGGGAGGCAAGTTTCAAGCCTTGAAATGCAGCCTGGCTTGTTGGCAATGGCACCTCAGGGGTTTACAGAGCCTAGGACTGTCTCTGACGGTGGAGGGGAAATGAGGAAGAGGCAAGGTGAGTGTGGGCAGGTTTACCAGATGACCCATCACAGAAGAGGAGTAGGGACAGGTGGTGGCCCAAGGACAGAGCATAAACATAGGCCTTCAAGCCTTTGTCATCTCTTACATATACATGCAATGGAGACAACTCTCTAGTCTTCCATCATGCTTGGAATACCTAAGGTCAATACCTTTGGCTTTTGAATGTGACACACAAACTTACCTGATGAATTCCACAGAATAGTACTGAATAGGGGAGCTTCCTTCACTTTTTCCAGGTTTCCAAGACAGGGCCACCTCAGAATCAGAAACCACAGTGACGTGCGGCTGCTGAGGTGCTGTTGGAGGCAGACAGGAATCTAGGCAGGACAGCAAACGACTAGAGTTGGCTGTGGTTTTTGCTGCTGGAGAAGTTTCATACATAAAAAACACATATGCTTCTTCTCTGTTCAGAACAGACTCAAAACCCAAACCAAACAAACACACACATAAAATCACAACTGGATTCATCTGAATCCAGTTGAGTAAGGTTTGAGTCATTGAAAGTGGGTCTTCCCTTCTTGCTCTAGCATCCCCGCTTGGAAATCCACCTAAATTATGCCCAGCCCCTTGACCCTGGGACACACAATGGTGTGTACCCTTTAAACTTTCAACCACACTCCCACTTCCTAACAACTTTTCATCTCTGTTTGCATGTTGGAATTGATATTTATGCACAAGGAAAATGATATGTTAGCATTAGTGTCACTTACTATCAATTCCTTTGTGTGCATGTGTCCCCTCGCCACATCAATCACCAGAATACAGGTCAACAGTAGGACATTTGGGAAATGCCCTCATGTGCAAAGATGTAGGAGTCACTCAGGAGCCTATCACCCCAACGTAACTGCCAGTACTATTTTCACATCCAGACTTTCACATCTCCCAGTCTTTGTTTATACTATTGCTTCCACCAGAAACATCTTTCCTGCCTTCTCTTCCTAGCAAAATCCTACGCAGTGTTCAAAATTCAGACCAAAGATATGGTTCTTTCTGAAATCCTCCCTGAGCCTCGAGGTGGAGGAAGTACACCCACCGAGCGCTCCAGAGCCCGTTGCGCAGACCCCGGATGCACTGGAGCTACTTGCTTACTATTTGCTTCTCCCTCCACAGTGAGCTCCTTGTGAGAAATGAGGTGATTGAGACACCTTTGTCCCCCAGTGTCCAGCACCCTAATGAGCCCTTGTTGGATTCCCTTTGCCTATAAAATCTCTTCGCCCACTCCCCTTCTTCACCTTCTTAATTCTCACTTCCTCATCTCCACTTAGTAGTCATCTCCTCAGCGAATTCTAACCTCATCCCCACATCGGGTCTCCCTTTGTGTGTTCTTACAGCTCTGCAGGTAGCACTTATCATAATCTGTGACTGCACATTAGTTAGATAATGTCTTGATCCACCCCGCTAAGTTCCGAGAGGGCAGGGCCTTTGCCTGTTTCTGTTCATCACTGAATTCCCAGAGCCTAGCACAGTGCCTAGCACACAGTAGGTCCTCATTGATATATACTGAATGCAGGAACGAATGAATAGCACCTGTCACTTGCCTATTATAATGAGTTGAACCCATTTTACCTTGGGGCAAAGTGGTTACATGCCGAGGAGAGCTGAGCCGCCCTTTGCCAGTCTGGCTGTAAGCTGCTACGCTCACTCGATATTCAGTGCCTGGTTTCAAATCTCCAATCACTTCCACCTGTGAATGACCAAACAGGAACTGTGTCAATGATCAGAAGTTCTTTTGCGGCAAACCAGACAATTTCAATGAGGGTTGCATCTTGAGGATCCCGTGAAATTGCTTGAGACAGGGATTGTTTTGCTTTTCCTAGGACTGGCCAAGTTTTAAAATTTGCAAGGAGGAAAACATTGTGACATATTTCTCAAAACTAGAGAATTACCTTTTTTTTTTTTTTTAATTGATGTTTTAATGGTTTCTAACATTGTGAAATTTTGGGTTGTACATTTTTGTTTGTCCATCACCATATATATGACTCCCTTCACCCCTTGTGCCCACCCCCACTGCCTCTGGTAACCATAGTCCAGTTTTCTCTGTCCATGTGTTGGTTTATATTCCACATATGAGTGAGATCATACAGTGTTTGTCTTTCCTAGAGAATTACCTTTTATTGGAATCTATACACTGCCCTAGGACTGGGACTCCTTTACCCTATCAGATGTGGCTCTTAACATCTGAGTTCTTTGCTCAGATTACTAGGCTGCTGGGATTCAGGTAACAATCTTTTCCAGGGTTGGAATCCCCCAGTTCTTTCTTTCCATTTGCACATCATAGATGCTCCGGAACCAGCCACAATAGCAAACTGAGGTCTTGATTTGTACCCATAAAGTAGGGACTCAAACTTTGGTTCTCAAGTTTTAACCTGCATCTGAATCACCAGGAGGACTTCTTAAAATAAATGCTGGACCTGGCCCCCAAGGTTTCTGATTCAGTATATCTGGGAAGGGGCCCAAATTTGCATTTCTAACAAGTTCCCAAGGAGTGCTGCTGCTAGTCCAGGGACCCCATATTGAGAACCGCTAGGACTGATGATGGATGTGTGTGTGAACTTCAGCTTCACAAACGACTCTGACTAGAAAGCCCCAGCTCAAGAAAACTAGCTCTCCCTTGGGCTTTGGCAAAGGTGATGTGTCCCTGAGGCTACAATGCAAAATAGTAACTGGGACACTGGGTCACATTGGTCCCAGTACATTGTAGGGGAAAGGACACTGGATTTGGAATCAACCAGCCCTGGGCTTGAATCCTGATCCTGCCACCAAGCTGTGGCCTTGGTATTAAATTCCCTGAACCTCAGTTTCTTCCTCTGTAAAATGGGGATGATATATAACTATCTTGCATAGTCATAATATTTGGGATAAGGTGCGGAAACTAACTGGTACCTAGGTTGTCCTCAAGAAGCGGGTTGTAATGATTATTGTCTTGTCTACTCTTCTCTGCTTACCTAGGTTTTACCACTTCTCTGAGGCCCAAATCTTCTCCTTGACACTTGACCACCCAGACCTGATCTTACCCTACCAACTGTTGTGCCACTTAATTTAGCACTTACATATATTACAAATTATTACTATTTCTCCTATGGGATGTAAGCCACTTGAGAGCAGGGATCCTGTCTTGAATTCTACACAAGCTCCTCTGCAGATGATTAAACATTCATTGTTGCTAAGGAGAATTAATCAACTGATTAACAAAATTCGTTCAAAGGATGCAACAATTATTGAATACTTACACAGTAATCCTTAACCCTGAATGCACATTAGAATCACTTGAAGATCTAAAAAAATACCGATGCCAGGACTCCACTCCAGTCTACTTAAACCAGAACCTCTGGGGGCCAGTGCTTGGTGTCAGTTTGTTGAAAGCTCTCCAGGTGCGGCTAATGGGCAGCCAGGTTTATAAACCACGGGTCTAGGGCTTGGCTCACCTCCTGTGCTCTGAATTCCATCTGTTCCCTCCTCTCTCCCCTCTATCTCCATCCTCTCCCTTACCCACCTGATCCTTCTGTAAGTATTTATTGTGCTCAAGTCTCTCTCATCTTAAAAGCAATCAATTATTCCCCCACCACGCATGTGCCCCACCTCATCTCCACAGAGGCAAACTTCTTGAAGAAGTTGTCTCCACTTCCTCACCTCCTATTCTTTCCTCAACTTACCCTCATCCCTCCTGTCCTCACTACAAACCTATTGAGATGTTCTTGCCAGAGTCATCACAACAACTTTGTAGTAAGTCCAATGGGAATGTCTCAGTCTTTACTTGACTTTTTGCCACTTTCAATACTGTTGCCCACCCTTGCTTCTTAAATCTCTTGGTTCCCTTGGAAGCCATGACTCTGCTCCTTCTTGGTCTCTTTCTACTTCTCTTATTGTTCCGTCCCAATATCCTCCACCCACTCCCCATTCTCTGCTTGCCCCCTAGGTGTTGGTCTTTCCCAGGGGTTCATCCCTCACCATCCTCTCCTCTCACTCTGTCGTCTTGCTTGGGTGAGTTCATCTACTACTCCTTTAGCTTCTAGCACTACCTTCGTGTGACAGCTCCCAGATCTACACCTCCAGCTCTGACCTGCCTCTTGATCTCCAGATGTGGATTTGTGACTGCCTCTTCAACATCTCTACCCAACACCTACAAAGCAACTTAAGTTCAACCTAACCAAAGCTCAAGTAATTGTTCCTCCTCCCACTACCAAAACCAAATCAAAAGATTGCTTCCCCTCTTGTGTTCTCTCTCCCATTACTTAAACCAGAAATTCTTGACACCTTCCTCTCTGTGTTCACCCCTCCTCCCTGCCTACCATTCAATCACTTACCAATACACTTACCAGTACTCTTTCATATCACTTGAATCTGTTTATGTCATTTCATCCCCACAGCCATTTAAGTCCATGTTCTCATAATTATGACAATGACTCTGATTCTCCCTGCCACCAACACTTCCTGCACCTCCATTCTAGGCTCAACCCTGCTAGAGTTATCTTCCTAAACCCCAGATCTGATCATGTCACTTCCCACTTTCAAACTCCCTTACAATAGCATATTTGTGTCCCTCTGTTTATTCTTCCAGCATCATCTGGTGCAACTTCCCTTCCTTATATTCTACATTCCAGTCATACTTAAGAACTTGGCAGGGCTCAAATTTATGCCATTCAATTCCTTGCCTCTGGGCCTTTGAACCTGCTGCTCCCTCTACATGAAATGCCCTTCCCTTCACTCTTGCCTGGTTGGCCCCTGCTCATCCTTCATGACTCAGTTCAGCTGAGACATTACCTCATTTCCCTGACCCCCAGCCTCCAGTCTGGTTAGCCGCCCCTCCTATATGCTTCCCTGGTGTCCTTGGTGTACCTCAATCTTAGCACCACTCACTTTCTATTGTAAATAGTCTGTTTATTTGTCACCTTCTCCCCACCCACTTGAGGGCAGGAAGCAAGTTCTTATTCCTCTGGCATCCCAAAGCTCAGCATAGTATTATCAGACATGTAGCAAATGCTCAGGCAACGCTTTTTGATGAATGAACAAATGAACTAGTGAATGAACGAAAGAAAGAAATCAAACCAAGATGTCCAATATAAGCAGATTACCTCATCAAGAATCAGCTTCTACTACTGACCCCTCCATCTTGATTAACAGCATCAGTACCTCTGCCCCGGGCCCTGGAGTTAATAACTCCAGAGACAGAGCTGACTTCCTCTAACCCACCTCCCTCCAGCCTCCTCCACATGCCTTTCAGACCTGCTTCCTTCTTCCATTTCCTTTGACTGCTTCCCTGGGTCATGTCTACGGTCTCCAATCCTTTACTCCCTCTCTCCCCACCACTCCATCCTACATGCAGCTGCACAAGGGGTCTTTGCTGAACATGTGAATCTGCTTTCAGAGCCCTCCTCCTGCTCTCATTCCCTGCATCTGTGCCACCTAGTTCCACCGTCCGTCCCCTGGTTTCATGTCCAGGTGGGTGGTTAAGAGACTGGAGGTCGCAGGTGGATACAAGACTCCTATTCTCACTCCTCTCCCAACTGCCACTCCCTGGAAGCAGAAATGCACTTTCAGACCAAGCTGATGTTCTCACAGGCTTTTGCTTTAAGATCCTTTCCTCCTGTGAAGTCATGCTGTGAGAAGTATGGGGGCAGTGATGTGGTTTCATAAATAATTACAGGTATTAGCTATGAGCCAACACCAAATACAGCCACCATTAGTTACCATTTATTGAGTGTTTTCTCTGTTCCAGGAACATGTATAACCTGATTTAATTCTTTCTTCTGTCCTATGAGGTATGTATCACTCTTATTTTCATTTACAGAGAAGAAAACCGGATCCCTGAAAATTTAATGATTTGCTCAAGGACATATTTTTATTAAGTGGCGAGGTAGGGATCTGAATCCTGCTGTGTTTGACTCCAAGGCCCAAATTTTAATTCAATAAAACATGTACAAAAAATATTAAATAACATTTAAATCAACAAAGAATACTTATACAAACACTGAACACCAGACTATTATTTTATCTATAAACATGGAAGTTTATGTATCAGAAATTTAAAAGTCATCACTGAAAATCAAGAGAAATTACACTTGTAGAAGTTGCTGATGTAGACTAAAAAACAATTAAACTCTTGGGGCTGGCCCAGTGGCATAGTGGTTAAGTGCGAGTGCTCTGTGTCGGGGACATGGGGTTCGCACGTTCAGATCCTGGGCGAGGACCGACGCACCTCTTATCAAGCCATGCTGTGGCGACGTCCCATATAAAGTAGAGGAAGATGGGCACGGATGTTAGCCCAGAGCCAATCTTCCTCAACAATAAGAGGAGGACTGGCAGTGGATGTTAGCTCAGGGCTAATCTTCTTCACACACACACACAAAAATTAAACTCTTTATTAGATATGGAAGATTAGCACTACCTTTAGCAAGGTATATTCTGAGAGGGACAGGGTGACCTTCCCAGAAGCCAACTATTTCCAGCCTTTTCCTGTGTCTTTCCTGTGCTGACAGGCTGTTAAGTTGGCATAAGGGAGCAAGGGTCAAGGGGACTGAGTAGGTGGGGCTGTGAAAAGAGGGTTGGATTCAATGATTTAACGGTCACTTCTTCCTCCAACATCACTCCTCCCAAATAGAATCCCTCAGGATATTGTCACTTGTGATAATCCTCAAATTCTTTAGTAAAATACCACACAATTCCACAAATTTTTTAGTTTCTGTC